GTAACTGTAACTTGTTACTTTTAAAAAGTAACTTTCCATTCCCTGGATTTTAGGAACTATAAAATGTTGATAAGCGTCATTTAGATACGTATTAACACTTTACGGTCCCCAAAGTCTTATCCACATTGAATTTTTTTGTGTCGATGGCTTTGTGTTTTAGCTCCGGAGCTCAAATTGGACAGACCTAGGGCCCTATTCTTGAAAAGTATCGCATACGAAAAACTAGGGAAATACTATAGTGTACGTAACATATATTATAGTATTTTCTTAGTTTTATGTATGCGATACTTTTCAAGAATAGGAACCCTGGCCTATACATTGACCATATCGTCTGGAGGCGCCTTTATACGAACTATACACGTCAAAGCAATATATAAAATTATTTTAATTTGCTTTTTAAATATTGATGACAGTTATTACATCAGTCTCGTTATACATTCGTAAGTAAATGCAATATTTCTCATATAAGCAGACTGTGTCGATACCAGCAGTTACATACTCTACTATTAAGGCTTGTTAACGAAAACGGTGTATCATCTAATTATTGAGGAGTTTTTTCTTATATATGATGGTCTTTTTATCAGTCGTTCCTGTCATCGACGCATAAATTAAAGTTTAAACGCGCGACTTTACGGAAAACCATAGGAAAATTATGGGCTACTTATCAACCTGTAAATTTATTTGAGCATGTTATACCAATACATGAAAATCACGTAGTCGGTTGTTGCGATAATTGTGTACCACTTTCAGCATGAACCAAGTAATACACATCAATGCACAGCGCGGTTAACGTTAATAACTCGTACGATCGCTTATTATTTATATAGCCCATCGATCAGCTGTTTTGCAAGTCAAATTGCGCTCCTGAAAAATTCCACTGTGATTATAGTCTAAAAAAATACTACGTCATATCGACAAGATCGAAATTTTATATTACTTTTTCTAATGATAAAGTTAAACTTAAAATTTGATAAATTATATTCTTAATAATGAAAAAGGATAGTAATCGTGATTTATAATAAAACTGTATAAGATATTTTAATTTGGAAGTAGAAAATTCGAATATCAGATTTTCAATGATATTTTATAACAATAATAATTCATAACAGTAAGAACTATCTGGTAATCCCTTTGACTCTGTGAGTCAAGTGTGACACAAAATGTGTAAAAGAAAGGAGGGAGTGTAAAAATGGCTAAAATTGGCTAAATAGGGTATTCCATTTCAGAAAATCAATGTAACCTTGACTTGACCTTGGCTACGCAACCCAAAGTCAAACTGGTAGGATCAGTAAATAGATATTTTTAAACCATATCTGAATGGACACCTTTAAAACCTATGCAGTTGTTATTTTGGAAGTCCGTACATTCTTGAAAAAAAATGCTTGTTTATCCAGGAAAGCTTGGGAAACCTTCCAAAAATAATAAAATAGGTCGTTTAAACGCTCTGTAAAGAAACTCATTTTGTTTCTAATAAACAATAGATTTTAAAATTATATGGTTTATTTACATCTAACACAAGTCTGATCATGAAATATGAGAATACTATATAGAATAGGAAGATCTATATATATATTCTGTATATATATAGATATAAAAGATCTATATCTATATATATATATACAGAATATATATATAGATATAGATCTTTTATATATATATAAAAGATCTATATCTATATATATATATATAGATATAGATCTTTTATATATATATAAAAGATCTATATCTATATATATATATATAGATATAGATCTTTTATATATATATAAAAGATCTATATCTATATATATATATATAGATATAGATCTTTTATATATATATAAAAGATCTATATCTATATATATATATATAGATATATATATATAATATGATTCCTCTAATTATTCTGCATATAAAAGTATTAAGGTAGTGATATCAAAAAACCAATAGTTTACGAGATATTTTACATTTTATTGTATATACTACGAGATATTTTACATTTTATTCTGGCACATATTGACATAAAATATTAAATAACTCGTAAACTAAAGTGGAAAGAATATATATTGTTGCTTATTTAGAAAATTATCCATTTTGCATACATATTTTTTTTAAAGCAACCATGTGTTTTCTTTACACCAACTGAATCATTTCATTATTCTGTTCATAAAAGTATTAAGGTATGGTTATCAAAAAGTTAATAGTTCACGAGTTATTTAACATTTCATGTCAATATGTGCCAGAATAAACTGTAAAATATCCCGTAAACTATTGGTTTTTTGATATCACTACCTTAATACTTTTATATTGTGTGAAAAAAATCATACAATTTCATTTAAAAAAGTGAAGGTGACCTTTATATCTTTTGACGCCTCCACCTAGAAAAATACATGACCAAAATACGTCTCCCTCGAAACCGT